CCATATTCCTACCACAATTTTGGAAAGTAATTAAAACCTAATACACTATAAAAGACCAGGCTTGCCTCATGTATTGAAATCATTCATTCATAGATTTCTCCATTTTCTTTGTCATGTCTTCAGAAAAGCTCATAACTCTTAAGACTAGCGATGATGAGGAATTCAAACTCAACAAGTCTGTAGTTGTAAGGTCAGTAGTCATCAACAGCTTTGTACAAGACATTGATTGTACTTCTAATGTCATCCCCTTGCCTAATGTTGATGGCAAAACAATGACAAAAGTGATTAATTATTGGAAGAAACATTCGGAGGAAGGTGTTACAGAAGTTCAGTTAAAGAATTTTGATCAGGATTTCTTGAAGATGAGTCACTCAGAATTATTTGATGTTCACTTGGCTGCTAGATATCTTGATGATAAGCAGTTGGAGGAGGTAATAATCCAAGAATCTTTTGATAGGATCACAGGGAAAACACTAGAGGAAATACGTGAAGTATTTGGTATCGTGAATGATTATACTCCAGAGGAAGAGGAGCAGATCCGTAGAGAGAATGCTTGGGCTTTTAAATGATCTTATAATATTTTTGTTATTTCCTTAGCTATATCCTATTTTTATTTTTATTTTAATTATGTTAGTTCTATCCTTTGTTGTTATTTTAATTCTGTTAGTTCTATCCTTTGTTGTTCCTTTTGAAGAAATATTGTTCGATTTTGAATGATTAATAAATTATGTTGAAAAGAAATTAAAGCTAGTTGTAGTATTCAAAAAAGAACATTCATTCAAATGGTGAAAAGATGAATTTGATATCTCAAAAAGAAGTTTCTAAATTCTTTCAAAGCATATCCAATAGACATGATATGTTTTCTTAATTTATTCCCATAATTTAAATTCTAGAAAGCCTCTTAACATAGATTTTTCTTTGAAGTTACACATAAAACAACAAAAATAATTTTTGATACTCGGGAATCCTCCTTTGAAAGACTATTAAAATTGCAAAACTAATATTGAGATTATCTAGTTAAAATTACACTTTCAGTTTATCTTTAGAAATATTATAAAGTATCTTCATATATTATAAGCATTTAAATAAAACAACAAAAATAGTAATAATAACGTAAATTGGACTCTAAATTAATTATGAAACTTCTTAAAATTCTTACTTGATTTACTAAGACAATTAGCGCGGCCATAATTTAACTTCATTTTCAACATCATTGAAGCAACATGCATACACCATTGAACTCCTTTTAAGACAATTACTCCGAACATAATTTAATTTTCTATATTTCTTCGTCCATCCAAATATAATTAGTTGATTGACTACGTTAAATACCTAATACATTTTAGACTACCTAGACAACTAAAATTTCGTAATTTTTGACGTCCAACTCAATTTCATATAGGTAATTAAAACAAGATAGAAAAATCATGAAATTCCTTTTTAATACAATGTTATATGATTTAAATGTCATTTTAGAACTATACCGACTGTCAACATTCTAAAATTGATACTAATGTATGACAATTAATAAACTATGATTCAGGGTTCTGGTGTTGGAGCTTAAAAAAGATGAATGACTTGATTGACACAACAGTGCATCTTGCAGGGTAATAATAGGTGGGCTAAATATATTACAACAGAAGAAATCAATTATTACTGTTGCTATGAAGTAATTTGTGTAATATTCCAAATTTTAGTACAATATTTACTAGGGCTTCTCAAGTAAATGTATCAACGGCCAATTTTATATTAATTTAAATGGTCGTTTGTGTATGTAATGTATCGATATTTTATAAATAATATATAATTGTTGGCCTTTGTCTCAAAATTTATGCTGAAATGTCAAAAGTGTTGATCTAAGCTTGGTATCAACATTACCTAAATAAAATAATCTCTGATTTTATAAATTTACTAGCACTCAACATATTTATATCAAATTAATAAATTAGACGGAAAATGGTCAAAAATATTTTTAGACTATTTGAAATGGTTTGAATATACCCCGCATTCATCTATTTTGCTAAAAATACCCCTCAATCAGCCTTTTTGTCCCATTTTTTCCTTACAACTTAATCGATTTTTAAAGTAATTATTATTACTATTATTTATTATGTGACGTCTTCCTATATGATAAAAATAAATCTCCAATCCATTAAATTTTTTTCAACCCGCCCGGATCCATGCATACAACCACACATGATCCAAATCCAATTAAACCTAATAATGAATCTACTAGTATCTCTTCACCAAAGATTCAATACTGGCTGCAAAAGTGTCTCTCTACTTCAGCATTTGGTGTTGCAGTTTGTTATAATATTCAGATCATTTGAAGCACATGACAGACAAATCACTACTGTACATTTTTCATAAATTTGATAATGATGATGATGGAATTCTCCCTTATAATGCATAAGGCTTTTAATTATTATTATTATTACTAGCATACGTACCCACATGTTGCGTGGATATTTTAAAATATAATAATTTTTCAATTTAAAAATTACTATGAATAATATGAATTATTAACATAAGTGCATGTGTAATCATATACTATGTTTTGATTTCAAATAATGAACACTTGATACTTACAAAATTTTATCCTAATAAAGTAAAGATGTGTTTCTCAAAGACACCAAATCTATCTATATATAATAGGAGAGGAAAAATCGCCACATGTCAGCGCCAGAATTAATCTCAACATTTATGTATTAGAAAGTCTATTTTTTAAAAAATAAAAAATAAGATTTTTTTTTAAAAAAAAGACACATATTAGCAATTACTAAAAAATACATCTTTCGGTTCTTCAAAATTTGATTTAAAAATATTTTTAAAATGTAATATTTCAATTAAAGTCAACTGTCAACACCCAAAAATTTGGATTTGGTTTTTTAAAATAAAATAAACAGTTTCACTAACATATGTATATTTTGGATATTCAATTAGTTCAAACTTTTTACTTAAACTATACATTTTTATATTCTTTTAAATAACAAAAGCTATTTATTTACGATTTGAGTAATACTTTGATGAAAAATAATATGTACGGATATATGAAATGATAGAACTCTAAAATCTTATATGTCCTTAAACTATATTAAGGATTAAGAATATAACTAAAATAATGAGTATATTTTTTTCCGTGGAATAATTGTGTTAAATTTTGAGAAATAAACTTATGATCCTTGTGTTGTATTTGTTGAAACTCCACAAAATAATTCACATAACAAAGAGTAGCGTAGACTAAATAAATTTTACAAAAAAAAAAAGTTAGATCGAAAATCTGTCAAAATATAATACAACGGAGAAATCTAAGAGCAATAGATGAAAGAATAACTAAAAAATAGTTTGTTACCTTCTTATCTTGGAGAGTCAGCCAATGAAGAATAAGATGTGTGAATATTTGTGATCTGATAAGTTTCATCTTTGTACAATTCCAACGTTCAACCTCCATTGCCTATTATTGATAAGTTCATCCTGAGTAGACATATTTTATCGAAAACGTATATATTTGAAAAAATATTGATACTTACCCATTTGAATTATAAATATACAATAAATAACTATTTTTAGAGAAACAATCTATATAATTTAAAAGACTTAAACACATTATTACGTATTAATAAAATGGTATAACTTGTTGAGTAGATGTCTTGGATTAAAATTCCAAACAGTATGCAGCAAATTCCAAAAAAGAAACAGGAAAAAAGATATGCATATTAACAATACAATGCAAGGAATGAATATTTGAAGCGTATATTGACTTCTCAAATGAAAATTAATTCCTAAATATGTGATTCAGTATCTATTAAAGTTTAAAACGGTAAAAGTAATTGCTTGTAAGTTTACATCAGTACCCGATTGTTTTAAAAATTGTAAAAGGTTAATTGTCTGTTAAAAGAAATCTGATAAACATAAACTGCTTTATATGTAATTTTAAAAATAATTAATTTTAATCATTTAAAATACTGAAAATTTGTGGTGTTGACATGTGTCATTTTTTCTTATCCTTTTATATATAGATTTTAAAATTTATTAAAAAAAATAGGCGGTTAGCATTTTATTAGGAACAAAAAAATTCAATTTATTTAAACAAAAAAAAAGAGATCAATACAATAGCTTTTTAACGTAAACAAATTTTTAAAACCGTTTTTAATGTCTGTTTTTTTTTTTTAAAAAAAGATTTGTTATTTATTATTTAATATAATCTATCTATTATATATGGATAGATTATTGATTTGTAAATTTTTAAAATTTCCAAAAATTATATTAAAATCTCCTTTGTAACTAATTATTTATTTTGTAAATGAAAATAAAGCCTTAAACTGTAAACAGAGAACAGTTGTTACTAACACACACATTTGTGGGAGAAGAGTTGGACTGAGATATAAGGATTACTAAACAAAGAACACAAGTCATACGTTCACTTTATTTATTATCATTATTGTTAGTCTTGAAAATATCGAGGATCTATCAGAAACGTCTCTTTACCCCTCAAAGATAGTAATGTGTACATACATCTTACTCTCTTCAATCCCACTTGTGGAATTAGTATTGTTAGTCTTGAAAATCAAATTAAGGAAATCAGCTAAGAGTCTTAATTTCCCACTTATTTAGGGTAAAAAAAGTTAGTGGAAGCTTAAATATATGTTTACAACTTTTCAAACACCATGGTTAGATATTACGAAAAAAATATTTTTTCTCCTAATTGAGATTTGGAAGAAAAAAAAAAGGCCTTCCTTTTCCTAATCTTATTCGGTCACATACATATGGTTTAGATAAAATTTTCACAATTTCCTAATTTGACATGAACTCTTTTGTTTTTTCCTAATTTGACATGAACTTTTATTTTCGTTTTGACTTCCTACTTCAACTAGAACAAAAACCTAATACTCTATAAATTAAGCCCTCCAACCTCTCAACATTATAATCATTCAAATCTCTCCATAATATTCTTAATAAAAATAACTTAACATCTCTTATTCAAATATATTCTTACGATCATGTCTTCTTCAACAAAGTTCTTAACTTTAAAGACTTGCGATGGTAAGGAATTTGTACTTGATGAGACGATAGCCGTGAGGTCACAAACTATCAAGAATATGGTTGAAGATGATTGTGTTTCAAACGTCATTCCCCTGCCTAATGTCCATAGCAAAACAATGACCAAAGTGATTGAATACTGGAAGAAACATTCGGAGGAAGACGTTTCCAAAGACATGTTGTTGGAGTTTGACAAGGCTTTTGTGAAGGTGCACCACTCGATTTTGCATGCTCTTATCTTAGCTGCTAATTTTCTTAACAATAAGGAGATATTGGATATAATGTGTCAAGAAGTTGCCGATAGGATTAAAGGGAAAACACCACAAGAAATACGTAAAGAATTTGATATCAAGAATGATTTTACTCCCGAAGAAGAGGCGATCCGTAAAGAGAATACTTGGGCTTTTGAATGATTTAATAACATTACTGTTATTTTTTGTTCATTTTTTATTTTGGAATTAAAACAGTCTAGTTACCTATATCTTATTTTATTTTATTTAGTTATATATTATATATGTTGCTCATTTTTATAGAACTGTTCTTTGATTGCGATTGATTTATAAATTATATTGAAAAGAAATTAAAGTTATTTATACAAACGACTTAGTGATTGAAAATAGAGTCTAACTATTGAACTTATAAGCAAACAAATTATTGATTATGCTAGAAAAATCAATAAAATATTTCTTAGCTATAATTTTACCTAACCATTAAACTAACAATTCTTGCTCTCTCACTGTTACAAGAAAATTAAATTGAATATTGATTCAAGATTCGAATTGCAAAAAAATGTTTTTGACGGATTTAAAAAAAATGATTATTAAGAAATAAATATTGAGATACTCAAAAAAAATTAAGATAATTAAAAAATAAATTCTGAGATAATCAAACAAGATAGAAATAATAAATCAAACATATTAAAACAAGAGAGTATATAACTCAATCCCGTGCTATGCTTTAAATCAGAATTCTCACCGACCACTCGAACCATCTTCTGTTGTTCCTTTTTATAGAATTGTTGTTTGTTTTTATTGATTTACGAATTATGTTGGAAATAAATTAAAGCTATTTATATTAAATTTGAAAAGAAAAATCATTTCTATAGTTGAAAGATGAATTTGATATCTCAAAATGAAATATCTAAATTTAATTTATTAATAATTTTGGATTATTTTCGTTCAAAGCATATTCAATAGATTTGATATATTTTCTCAATTAATTGCCACGAATTTAAATACTGAAAAATCTCTTCACATAGCTTTTTTTTAAAGTTACTCATAAAACAACAAAAATGATTTAAATATTAAAAAATTCTTTAAAAGACTATTAAAGTTTAAAACTTAAAAAACAAGAGAAAAACATTATGGAGTTTCTTTTTTAATATAATGTTATATTGATCTACATGTCACTTTTAAAAATTTATTAATAATGTTAATTGGTGCTAGAGCTTAAAAAAATTCTCCGTATAGAAATTTTTTTAGTAGAAAGCGCTATAGTCCGAGTGAGGTCCTACTTGGCGCAAATTCGAATTAATTACGCTTTAATGCGGATATTATCTATTGGATGAAGAAACTAAAAAATAATGATTGGAGGAACATATATATGTATCATCTTTCATTTTGCACAATATATAGTGCATCTTGCAAGGTAATAGTGGATGAGCTTAAAATATTACAATAGAAGAAATCAATTGTTATAATTGTATGAAAAATACTAGTAATATTCCAAATTTTAGGGCAATATTTACTACGCCTTCTGAAGTAAATGTATCATTGACAAAATTCTTATTAATTAAATGATTGTATGTATATGTAATGTATCAATATTTTATAAATAGTTTAAGATTTTATATATGTATGATGTATAACTATACATTAGATATGTATAAATAATCACAAACATATTTATAAATTACAATGCATCGTCCTCACGAGTTGATTTTTTTTTAATACCGACTAGCTCAAATCTCCTCGAAATTGTCCTAAATTATAGATATGAACAAATCTCAATGTTTTGATTCTTTTAATATATTATATATTCACTAGAAATGATCAATTTACATTTGCGGTAGATCAAATTTTAAATTTTGAGATTCAATATGTTTTAATGAATGATTTCAATGGACATCTGATTCAAATCTCCACAAAACTATCCTAAAATATAGATATCATTATCTCCTCTCAATATTTCTATTCTTTAGATATATTATTCAATCAAAATAATTTATAGTTGTGACGATGTCAAATTTTATTTATTTAAACTTACCCAATTGCCGGAAGAAGATCTCAGTAGACATAGATATAATCAGTAAATGATCAAATGATCATTCTATTGTTTTAGTTTTTCGATTGCTTTAATCATAAATGTAGTCAAACAGAGTGATTTTAACAACTATCAGAAATGACTGGTCTTCTAGTAAATAATTAAAGAAACAATGAGTTTAGAAGGTGTTTGGATTGGATTAAAAGTTGGTCAAACCTACATTTAAGTCAGTTTTTTACTTCTGAAAGTGTTTGAAAAATATAAAAATAACTTAAAATAAGTTGAAAAGTGTTTGGCAAGGTCAAAAATGACTTAAAACAAGTCAAAAACCAAAAGTAAGTCTCCCCCTACTTTTTATTTTTTGACTTAAAAGTCATTTCAGTTTGACTTTTTATTTTTGACTTAAAAGAACTTTCCTTGTCACTTTTAATATATCATTATCATAAAAATCTAGATTTTGCAAAGCAAATTATAAACTTCAAAAAGGGAAAATAATAAGTTTAGGTCTATGTAATATTTTGCTTTTCATATTCTACCACAACTTTGGAAAGTAATTAAAACCTAATACACTATAAAAGATCAAGCTAGTCTCATGTATTGAAATTATTCATTCATAGCTCTTTTAATTTTCTTTGTCATATCTTCAGAAAAACTCACAACTCTCAAGACTAGCGATGGTGAGGAATTCAAACTCGATGAGGCTATAGCTGTGACTTGTGAGGTCAGAAGTCATCAAGAACATAATACAAAACATGGATTGTACTTCTAATGCCATCCCCTTGTTTAATGTTGATGGCAAAACAATGATGACAATGGTTAAATATTGGAAGAAGCATTCGGAGGAAGGTGTTACGGAAGATCAGCTAAAGAATTTTGATCAGGATTTCTTGAAGATGAGCCACTCAGAATTATTGGGTGTTGTCTTGGCTGCTAGATATCTTGATGATAAGCAGTTAAAGAAGGTAATAATCCAAGAATTTGCTGATAGAATCACAGGGAAAACACTAGAGGAAATACGAGAAGTATATGGCATCGTGAATGATTATACATCAGAGGAAGAGGAGGAAGTCCGTAGAGAGTATGCTTGGGCTTTTGAATGATTTTATAATATTTCTGTTATTTACTTAGCTATATCCTATTTTTATTTTTATTTTATTTATGTTAGTTCTATCTTATGTTGTTCCCTTTTGAAGAAATGTTGTTCGAATTTTATTGATTTATAAATTATGTTGGATAGAAATTAAATCTAGTTATATTATTTGATTTTTTTTTAATCCTTTTAGATACATTATTCACTCAAATCTCCTCTAAATAGTCCTAAATTATATATATGAGCAACTTTTGATGTTTTAATTCTTTTAATATATTGTATATTCACTAGAAATGACTAACTCACGTTTGCAACAGATCAAATTTTAAATTTGAGGTTCGAAACATTTTAATGACAGATTTCAATGGACATCCGATATAAATCTCCACTAAACAATCCAAAAATTTAGATTACATGGTCTCCTCTCGATATTTCTATTCTTTTAGATACATTCTTCACTCAAAATTGTTCAGATTGTGGCGATGTCAAATTTTATTATGTGAACTTACCCAAGTGCCTTCAGAAGATCTGAGTAGACATTAACATAATTAGTTAATGATCAAATAGTCGTTTTATTGATTACTCACAGACCAAATAAAGATTCTAGGTAATTAACTGTTAATTCGGTTTTTTTAATTAGAACATTTGACCAAATGGTCATTCTATTTAATTATTCCAATTTACTATGACTAGTAATAACATATCATTTAAATTAAAATATAAAATATCTAAATTTGAATTGCAATACAATTTTTTTGTTGAAAGATAATAATATATGACTTTTAAGTTTCACCTCTAAATTATAAGATTTAGAATAGTCTCTCCACTTATATCGTTCATGTTTGGGGGACAATTAACATACAAACAAAATAATATGACAAACGTTACTTCCTCCATCTCATATTAAATGTTAGACTTTTCTCTTTACGTGTCTTTTAAAAAAAATCATAAATAACAAAGTTAGTTTTATTAATTTACCCTTCAAGAAACTTGCTTGAAACTATACAAAATTATTTACCCTTTCAAAAAGAATTAATTGTTAGTAAAATAGGGGAAATGTAATTAATTTATCTTAATAAATAATTATAGACAACTATTTTTAATAGTGTGGACAACTATATGGAACCGGGGGCCTAGGGGAATACTAGATTAATTAATTTATAGTTTTTCAATTACTTTTGTTAGAAATGTAGTTAAACAGAACGAATTTAACAACTATCTGGTCTTCTAGTATATGATTAAAGAAATAGTGAGTTTTGAACTTTTCTTGTAACTTTCAATTACATCATTATCCTGATTATCTAAGAATCTGTTTGGCATCGCTCCTAAAAACACATTATTTTTAAAAATGCTTTTTTGAAATGACTTTTTAGAGAAGTAACTATGAAAATAATAATAGTTTGTGTTTGACTAATTCATTTGAAAAGTGTTTTTCATAAGCAAATTATGTTTAACTAATCTTTTAAAAAAAAGTGTTTTAGAGTCAAATTACAAAAAAGGACAATTATTAATGTACTTTTAATGTTAAAATTATTTTATAGAGAGAAGCTATTTTAAATATCTATAATAAAAAAATTAATCAAATTTTTATTTTTATTAAATTAAAATGTTTAAATTTCAATCAGTTATACTTTTTTGGAAGGCAGAAATCTTTAATTATTATTCTTTTCTAATCTTGTAAAAATATTATTGTTAACGTTTTTCTAATTCTGCAAAATAATACGTAAAATGATATTGTTAAATTATATATATGAGCAACTTTTGATGTGTAACACCCCGTATTCTACGTGTACTAGTTCTATTTATTACGCTTAAAAAAACTTCCTTGTGGTAGAGTTATGGACTCGGTTTCCTATGAAACTAGTGACAATAGAATAGATTTAAAGTGAACTGTCCGTAGATTTTAATGTGACCCGATTAAGTTGAAGTCGATGGAAGTATTTAAACTTGATCATAAGTTGGTATTTGAGTCTAAAGTTTAAAGTGACATAGTGTATATAAGTATTAAGTTAAGTTAAAGGCATTAAGGTCTAGAAATGGAATAAAATATTAAGGTGCTTG